ATCTTGCACTTATCATGACAATTTGCAAGCAGGTATGATATCAGGTATATTGGTCATACATTCCGATGAGTAGTGGATGGTATAAAATGACAGAGCCCCTCAACTATTTGCAACAAGTAAGGTACTGAAAATATCCAATCAATCTATGCTTGCAAATCCTACATTGCAAGTCTAATGTTAGATGTGATGATGCAACTGGACAATATTTGCTGAATAATCCCAAGTGTGTGAAGAATTTCAGAGCAACTAATTTTGAATTATTGACTGGGCCTGGTACTTACTTGTACCAGAGGTTACATAGCTTAATAAACAGTGCCCTGTTGCTTGCAGGCACAGGGAACATTTACATGCACTGCTCCTGTTTCAACTGAACAGAACAGTGGATCGTGATTCGCCGGTTGATTTCTCAGAGTGATGCCTTAAACAAGCAGAACCAACCTACTTCGTATAACATTTAAAAATGCGCTGACAGTTAACCGCCAATCATCATTATCTGGTGCATTTTCTCTGGCAGCTTCTCTACCAGCGTGTCCTTTTCCCAGTAATGCACAGTAAATATATTTATCCAAGAAACTAGCATGAAGAAATCAAAAATAGTCGCACTTTAGTTAAACCATTATTATTAATCAAGGGGAAAATGAATGCCTATAAGACTTCAAGAAACTTATTTTCCAGGCAAGGAGCCAGAAACAAAGCTTTGACTAATGGAGATCACATCTCTGGAATTAATCAAAAGCTAGTTGGAGGCTGTGATGGTGGGACAGTTGAACTGCAACATGAAGATGGATTTGAGTTAGAAGAGAAAGTGGTTATGTTTAATTTGGAAGAATGAGTTGAAGTAGAAAAAATTAAGACTGCTTGGATATCTTCTCCGGAAATCAAAAACAGAGATATGTTGTGGAAGGAGAGATAAATGAAAAAATGGAAAAAAAGATACAAATGTGTATATCAGGAAATAATTAGAAATCGAGGTTAGTATAATGGATATTTATTGATTTTTGTTTGGTGGAGACAGTTAGTATGGTAACATCACTTACTGAGCAATTCAGAGGCCCACACTAATGCAATCAACTAGAAACAAAAATTGCTGAGAAACTCAGCAGGTCTGGCAGCATCTGTGGTGAGAAAACGCAATCAATATTCAAGGTCCATTGATCCTTCTTCAGAACAAAATGCTGTGGGATTATGGATTCAAATCTCATTTTAACGATATGGAATTTAGATGTAAACAATAGATTTTCAGTGTAAAGCTGACATTGTAAGCAATGGTCATGAAACTATGAAAGTGTTGTGAGAACCCTTTGGGTTCACTCATGTCCCTTTGAGAAGAAGACCTCCCGTGTATACCTGATCTGGCCTGCATGTGACTCCAGTGCCATAGCAACAGGATTGACTCTGAAATGGCCAGAGTAAGCCACGCTATTTGAGGACAAGATGTGATCGAAATAACTATTTTATTTAAAAGAAAACACATCGATATCCTAGTCTTGGGTGTAGAAGATTTATGTTCATGTTGACGATGCAAATTTTAAACGTATTGTGAATAGTGACAACGTGATGGAAGGAGTTGGCACGTGGCAGATCCAATTTAATTCAGAAAGTAATGCAGTTGTAAATTTTGATAGGAAAACGAGGCATGAAAGTATTGAAAAAAGCGTGTAAAGTATATTTCTACAGAATGATAGGATCCTGGGTGCAGACTTGCACAAATAGTTGAAGGCGGTAGGGCAGGCTGAGAAAATAGTTAAAACTCGATACAGTTCCTGGGCTTTATAAATAGTCCGAAAGTATAAAACCGAGGAGTTAATAGTGTAACTTCACAAAGCACTGGTCTGACCTCAACTGTTTATTGCGTTCAATTCTGAGTCACACGTTGTAGCGTGGTTGTGGAATCGCTGGACCTGATTCAGAAAAGAGTTTTGAGAATTGATGTAGCGATAGGAGACTTCAGTTCCTGGATAGATTGGAGAAGGCGGGTTTATTCGCCTCCGAGAGGCGAAGACCGAGAGCAGATTTGGTGAAGGAGCTTGTCTAGAGGCTCCGCTACTTCTGGATTTGACATTCACAACTTGGCGTTCAGATTCGGATTTCTTTAGCAACGAAAAAACAGTTCTACAAAAGTCCCTTTTCAACATTCCAGTTGTACAAAATCCAAACAGGACAAACTAGTCAATAAGCACCAAGATAATCGGATTGCTGCACTCTCAGTGCCCGGGAATTGAGACAGTTTGAGACCCACAATTTTTAAAATGAAGCAGTGGAGAGAGATAGAGCTGGAGATACACAAATAAAAACTAAACTTTTGAATTCTCAAGTAGCAGCGCAACAAAAAAGAAACAACTTGTCAGAATGATAATATGAAGGGTCTGGAGTGTATGTTCTAACTACTAATTTTCATGACTTTTATCACATCGTTAAAGCAGTGTTGCTTAATGCAAAGTACGGCTTAAATTGACATCGAGCCATTTGCTGATGCGAGAGGTTTACATATATTCTTTGTAAATACCAGTGCTGGCAAAAATAAGAACAGAAAATGCTGGAGAAGCTCAGCAGGTCTGGCAGCATCTATATGGAGAAACACAGTTAATGTCTCCAGTCCAATGAGACTCTTCGGAACTCAGAAGAATAATCTTTTGAGGAAGGAACATCTTGAAATCGAAACTTTAATTGTTTTTTCCTCCGCAGATGCCGCCACACCTGTTGAGTTTCTCCAGCAGTTTCTGTTTGTACTTCAGATCTCCAACATCGACGGTGCGTTGCTTTTGGTACATTGTTTAACCCCGTGTGACCAGCCGCATCCATCATGAAGCTAATTTGCCCTCGATCAGACCTGTTTAGAATGCAAGCTGCGTGGAAATATGGGTAGACTATTTTCTTTCATTTGGTCAATTAATTTGTATGATGAGTTCCGAATACAGCAAAGATTAATAGCACAACAGAATTTGGATGGGGTTGGGGGTGAGTAAATAATGCCGAAACAGTGGCACATCCCACTAAAATGTAGCCCGTATTTTGTGGACAAGGTTAAAAGCCACAGGACACGTTACAGTCCAACAGGTTTATTTGAAATCACAAGCTTTCAAATCGCTGCCCCTTGGTAAGGTGAAGTGAAGAGAGAACCTAGGCACAAACTTTATAATCAGAGGGATCAAGAGATCATACGAGTGGTCTGAGTGGCGTGTCCACAGGCCGAATAATAGGGCTGTGCTGGTGATTAAGAGTGTCAGGCGGTGTGAGTGTCAACAGCTGAATAACAAGTGAAGGAGTGACTATAATCCGATTAATTGAGGCAGAGAAACAATTACAAAACAAAAATAAGGTGGTGCTGGAGACAAACCAAACTGCTGGAATAACATACTAGGTATAAGAGTCACTTGCCGAGGGCCTAACCAAAGCAACAAATAATCCAAAACTGTATAAATTAATTAAGGTGGAGAGATAATAACAAGTTTCAAGGTGATGGTGTCGAAACAGGATAGTAAAGAAGGCTGAGGGCCATTGCACTATAATGGAACACACGTGCGAAGGAAAGAAATTTTGATTTCAACCATAAATGGCAAAAAAGACATGATTGAGCGTAATTTTATTACATGATAAAAGTTTCAAGAAGCAATGTTAGAAAAGTAAGTTATCATGCATTACACACGTAGGATATCCGACTTCAGTGTAACAACGTGTATATATAGAATCACTAAATATATCTTCGATATTTGCTTTTTCTGAACTTTACGAAAGGCTGACTGCATTGTTTATCTCTGAACAACTTCTGTCCGGGTACTCCACGTTCTAAAAATGGTTGCAAAAGTTATAGGACTGCAAGCGAAGCATAAACCTCTCACAAAAGTCAATGGTTTACGATGATATTACTCCTACCCCTATTAAATTCCAAATAGTCAGCTTTATTTAATTCTAATGTGAATGCACAGGAGAAATCTCAAGCCCCGAGAACTACAACTTAAAGATGTTTTACTAGAGAATCGCTCAAACAACAATTTGTTCAATTCAAAAAACGGATCTTTTGTCATTATTCGATTTACAACATTTGGAAATTCATCATAAACGCAATTTGCAGTGACCCCATTTCCGCGATGGTGTCCTACAACCTATACCCTTCCATTCCATCAGTGCAACATCTGTGATGATGAGCAAAATCTTGTGAATGTTACCTCATGACACCTATAAACGAGGTCATTTAGTGAAAGGATTACCCTTTGTACCAATATCAATTCCTGGAAGCTCGGAAGTTTTACAATTCACTTTTGCTGGAAATGTATGAATTGAAGGACCATTTCAACTGTGTAACAGCAAGGGAAAAAGAATGTTAATGAATTAACTGAGATAGTAGGAACTGCAGATCCTGGAGAATCCGAGACAACAAGGTGCAGGGCTAGATGAACACAGCAGGCCAAGCAGCATCATAGGAGCAGAGAGGCTGACGTTTCGGGCCTAGACCCTTGCACTGACTGATTAAACAAAATGGAAACAGTTAGAAATTTATAAATGTACTAATAAAGGATTTTGCACTTTCTACAATGGAAAACAGCCCTCGGTGCCTCACTGCAATTTCTAAGTGCAAAAAAAAGTACTAACGCTGATATATTAATTTATTTGTGAATTAGCAATCAATTTCAACGATTTAAATGACAAAATAACTAAATACATGACGCGACTGCAGTTGCTAATCATAAGGGGCAATTGATTAAAAATATGACCATTGATCAAATTTGAGGTTTTACTAAATATGAGAATTGAAATATGTTAGCCTTTGGATTTTATTTTAAGTCGCGGCGATAATGTGAAGAGAAACATCTCAGCGGGGAGGAGGAAGAGTGGACAGGTTGAATTCTATCGTTTGAATTTCCTGTTTGGAAACGTTGTGACTGATGCAATTGGTTACAAGAACCTGGATACTGCTCAGTTGGCCAATCGACACTTTCGGGAGGACAATATATTTGCCTACCTAATAAGACGGTGACATTTAAGTTGCCCCGGCCTTTGATATAAAGAGTTGCATTCACTGACCTGAAAGATTGTATATTCCTGCAACAGCAGTGCCGTCACAATGGCCTCTGGTCTTGCTCATGTTTGGCCTGACCTGCAAGTGTCATCGAAATATGTGTAATTTCTTTAGCATTATGAACAAATGTTTAAAAAAATATCAAGCAAGCACCTAATCCGGAGTGTGTCTTGATCTGAACGTAATGTCGTCGTTCGGTGTTCATTTTTATCAGTTGATTATTAATCATGAAATGTTTTATCTGTTTTACAGACACAAGCGCGGACGTCCGCTTGGTCCAACCAGCTTCCGAGTCCACAACACCTGGAGAAACTGTTCGCCTGACCTGTACAGTCCACGGAATCAGCCTTTCAAAAAAGCATGTTTATTGGTACCAGCAGAAGCGAGACAGCGCCCCAAGATTTATTCTGAAGGGGACCGATAAAAGAGGTGAAGGTATCTCGGACAGATTTACCGGCCTGGAAGATGAATCAACCAACGTGGGATATTTGACTATCACTAATGTGCAATCGGAGGATGCTGCTGAGTATTACTGTTTTTCATGTGAGGCAAGCGACGTGTGCTACTTCTGCAGCGGAACCAGGCTGATTGTGCCGGGCAAGTGACTAATTCCTTATGCCTCTAAGTAAAATTTCTTGATAAGATGCCTAATTTAAATGCAATGTTTATTTTGTCAATTTCCAACAAAGAGACTGAATCGGTTTCTCCCGCTGTTAAAACAAACAAACTATGCTTTCACGTCATTCCAAAGAAAATCATAATTCTATGTAAAAAGAGTAACAGTTGCTAGTGGACGGTTCGCATGTTCGAGAGAAACAACTGGTGCAGGTTGAACCTGAGGGGAAAAGTTAAAAGCTGGGACTTCCATGGTAACCTCAACTGGTCCAAAATTTGAACCCGCGCTGAGCAGCTATCCAGCCAACTGAACTAACCGACACCCTCATATACAAGTTAAGCAATGGCTCGTAACTAAGTGTAAACTAACCTTTAAGTCGAGTTTCAAGCCTTTTCCAATCCTCACGTATCCCGATCAACCGCCCGGCTCATTCAGAGGCCAAAAGACCGCTGATTGGGGTAATTTTGCAGGCGGAAGTCGGGAACAGTTCCGGGTCCCAAGCCCACCTCACACTTGCTGGCTTAACGTTACGGGAAGCGGACGCTTACTTAGCCCCCCTCCAGTCCCCTGGATTTACCGGCCATTTGGAGTCCGTGTGGGGAGGGCTGAGAGCTGTGAGGCAGATGGAGAGCTATATCTTGAAGCGATTCCCCACAAAGCTTCACGCAGTCTGCCTCAAGTTGTTTCGAGCACATAGGAGAGAGGTGTATGCTTGCTTCTGGTAAAGAAATAGCAACGTAGTGCCGAATGGGGATTAATGCGCCCCTCAATTCTCCCCCACTGCCTGGGCGGGTCGCCACTAACACCGGGGATCCGTCCGGGAAAAGCCCCCGTTGATGGGAACCAATCGGGAGACCCAACCCCCACGTTATATTCCAAAATTCTCCACGTCACCCCTCCGACTCCAACACTAAATCCATGGGTTAGTAAAATACAGGCCTTTGGCTGATCTCTGCTCAAACCTTGCTGAACATGAAGGGAAACCATGTAGAAACAGGGTCAACGTTGTTTCTTTTCCCACACCATCGCCGTAAGTCGTAAAGAGCCTTGGGGTGATTTCTTGGCAATGTTTCACGTCGGCAGGTAGAATTAGACTACCTACAGAGCCCCAGACAAATCCCGGAGGGAACGTGTCCCAGGAACAGCGCCAAGACTAGTTTTGTTCCAATTTCAACAAAATATTATCCCACGTATTGTCTGAATTGAAACAGGATTAAACTGTTTCTGTTATCAGGCAAAATGTGCGGGCCTTTTACTAACACCAAGTAATCAGGCAGGGATAAGAAGGGCTTGTCAAGGCGAAGCCCATGGATAAAAGGAACAGCTTGACTAGGGAGTGGACTGAACGATAGAATACTGAGTCGCGGTAAATGGTTATTTTCTTGGCTGCAGGAACGTGTACAGTGCAGTCCCCCGGTGATTACTGCTTACCGATCTATAGGAATAAATTGGACTTTGGTATAGTGGGTACATTTGCAACGTTAGGGATGAAAAAATCTTGGGAGTGGTGAGCTGTGAGGAAGATGATGATGAATTTCAAGACTGACTAGTCTGATGACATTGAATGGAGGGAGATGTGAATTGTTACATAGTGTAAGGGAGAATAAGGTAAAGTAATATGAAACAACGAACGTGATTGTACAGAGCATAGGAACAGAGAGAGGCACGGCGATTTGAGGGCACAAGATGAGATCTTTAAACACAGGGCAGGTTGAGCATCTTTCTTACATTAAAAAGGATTTCGGAATCCTGATCTTGAAAATAGACGAACGGATTACAAAAGCAACGAATTTATCGTGAACTTTCATAAAACACTGAATTGGCTACATCAGGTGCTTTCGACCCAACTTGGCAGGGATTGCAAGGGTTTTAGCGGGTGATACGAAAAGGTAACATATATGAAAATGGCTCCACAGTTCAGTGAGGCGGTTTCATTGAAGAAGCAGGGAGTGTTCTCTCTAAAGAAGATGAGGAGCGGACAAGATTTGATAGGAACGTCCATAATCATGGAGTGTCTAGGCAGAGTTCCTGGGGAGAAATCGTTCCCATTGCTGGAATGATGGCAAACCAAAGGACTCGGATTTAAGGTGAAAGGCAAATGAACCAAAGGTGGCACGAGGAGAAACATTTTTGATGTGGTGTGTTCAAGGACTGGAATGTACTTCCTAAGACTGTGGGGATGGCAGATTCAATTCTGACTTCCAAATAACTCTCCCAGGGACTTGCCCGATCTCCCTGTCTTATTTGGGTCTAAATGTGGATCTTGGATTTGGCTAATCTCCGGAAAATCGGGTCTCTCAGCAGAATTTGGCATTAAAGGCTGATTGGAATGGATACGGTAATCCCGGTAACATGTTTTGTTGATAAAAGATATATTGGTCAGCGTAGTTTGGAATTTACTGAGTCAACGACCTTATGTTGGGGAATGTTAATAATAGAAAAGCCGACTCTGTTTTACAGTTAACCTAAATAATTTTAAAACGTTTTTGCTACTGTTACAAGGGAAGGAATGTAAAGGTGTTCGGAAATATTCCGGTGAGCCTCCTAGAGGAAGGGTTAACCATATACAACTGATGGTCCCCTCCAGATAATTCTGTCCAACTTTGTTCAGACATGTAGTCAGAAGCCTACATAGATGTAAATAAAATTCAACTGAGCGATGCCTCGGACACCCAATCTATAACATAACTAAAACAATTTAAAAGTCCTCGTGAAGGACTATTCAACGTTGGTAATATTTGGTGGTATTTGATCAAAAACCGAATTGGTGCAACCTATTGCAGATACCTTTGTATTGGTGTGTTTATACACCCCTGGAGCAGGTAGGATTTGAACGCAGGCTCAGAGGTTGGGACACTACCACTGCTTCACAGAGCTCTAATGCAATTTGCCAACACTTGTGAATATCCAGAAGCCAAGTCTCCTGTAATTCGGAGTTGACTTGTGGTTACATCAAGTCCTGAAGCATTATTGTTCAATTATCCTCAAAACTGACCAATGATTTCAGATATCAGCACACCAACAGAAAATACGTCTATAAAGTAACTTACAGTTGAAATAAATACCACAGCCATGTACAAATATTTAGCTTCATATCACGTCAGACTGACCGGACTAAGGGTGTGTCAAATGTACAATGTTTGGGGATAGTTGTCTTTGCTTGATGTCGGTGGGAGTCTGTACACATTGCTAACGCTAAGCAATTTGAAATAGAAGCCAGTCTCTGTCACGGGCAGTCAGATTTGAAATAACATCCCTGTGGTATAGAGGAATTTTCTGCTTGAAGCTGTCCACAGAAATACATAAGGAATGCTCATCAGGAAATAGTCCGATGATGAGTATTCGCGCTCCGAATGTGGATCATGTTTCGAAAGAATGCAGAGCTAAAGTTTCGTGTCCAGTCACTCTTGTTCGGTTCTGCCAGACCTGCTGAGTTTTACTAGCAATTTGTGTTTTTGTTTGTGAATAAAAAAAGACATTGCGCCATGTTGTACTCTCTTATTACCAGCATGACGAGTGATCGTTTTTGCTCCTTGCCAAACTGGATATTTTCTAAATCAGCATGTTCACAGATGTAATTGCACACTACCCGAGTGATTGAGACTTAAACCCGTGGCCCTTAGCTTCAAGGAATAGGGATACTGCTACTGCATCACAAGAGCCACAACTTAAAACAGATTTGATGTTTTTGACCTGATTTCGAACCGGGCTCCTTTCGCCTTTTATGCGAATGTCATAACGACAACATTACTGGAACATAGAGTGTGAAGCTACCGTGATTTGAACACGCAGCCTCCCAGAGTCAGACACTGTACGATTGCCCCACAGGCTCTCTCCTCCTTACCGATAAATGGATTTTGAGAACTAGTTCCCTGAAATGATCAGAAACTTTTTTTTTAACCCAAGTCAATGTATCTGCGCCACGAGAGCAATTTGCAGACTCTCCAGCCTTCTCCAGCAAGATGTTAAGTGACAGAATATTTCTTTTTCCGTTTGCAGTTTAATAAAATTCTGCTTTGTACGTTTTCCTTGCACGTGTTATCGGGTATATTTGCATCCAAGTGAAATTTCATAGAAATATAAACCCATGGCAGGTACAGGTCTCCCTGCAGTTCAGAATCAGACACATTAATTGCTTAAATCTGAGGGTTTGACAGTTTATAACTCAGATGCACCACTGTGCGTTAGTGAACTCAAAGCAGTGTTTAACCTTTCGCTTCTAGGTCGTCAGCCAGCCAAGCCCAAAGTGTCGCTCCTTCCCCCCAGCACAAAGCAGATTGCAGGAACCAACGATGCGACGCTGATGTGTGTGGTCACTCATTTTTACCCGGAGTCGGTGACGCTGGTGTGGAGTGTGGACGGCAAAGTCAGACAGACCGGCGTCCAGACAAGTTCAACCATACAGGACTCTGACCAGACATACAGCTTAAGCAGTTACCTCACCCTGCCAGCTTCCGAGTGGAGCTCACACGAGCTTTACTCCTGCGGAGTAAAACACCAGACCCTCAGCTCCACACTTGAGCAAAGCATCAGTCGATCAAGCTGCATGTGATGAAGAAAGAAATATATTGTTAAAAAATGTTGGCTTTTCTGTACTCCTGTTGAAAATAACTTGTCGCTGTTTCTTAATTTGAATCTCATCCAATTTTTACAATGTTGGTCTCTTTTTGAAAAGCAAGGGTGCGTCACCGTCTTTTCTTTAAGCAAAGTAACGCCGTTGCATTTGCGTGTGCTGTATTAATGTCTTATTTTTAGCCTGGATTAAATAATAAAATACCATGAGTACGCGAAATGCTGTATAGCTCACAACGCAAAGGCCAAATTCGCCATTAGCGATTCACACTGAAACTATCCGGAAGTGATCATTGACAGGCAGATACTGACTGACTCCAGCGTGTACCTCCAGCAAGTGCTACTTTCTTTTGAGCTCATGGATTTGCAAGAGTTTGTTGGATTTGTAGTATTATCCTGCGCGTCCACTTCCCCTTCCTACGAGGGAACTCGTTTATTCGACATTTGTGAAAAATACGGAGAAATTATCAAACATTTAAATAGTGCCTTCTAGCTTTTTTAAAACAAAAGGGTCTCAAAGGAATTCAGGCAACGCAGTGAGAGGAGTTGGCAGAGGAGGTGAAATGTTATTTTGATATGGACTTGAAGTAGAAGACGGTATAAAAATAAGGGGTCACCCACTTAAGATGAAAATGACGACTTGTTTTTCTCTCAGATTCTTTGGAATTCTCTTCCCCAGAGAGCACTGTGAGGCTGGATCACTAAATATTTTCAAGGGTGAGGCAGATAGATTAAGGGGAATGAATGGTTATCGGGAATAGATGGCAACATGGGGTTGAGGCCACCGTTAGAAAGTATTTTATTGGCAGTGAAACCTGGACACTTTCCAAATCGGTGAACTGCGCCTTATGAATGTGGGTCATTTCCTTAGACGTTCCAATGTCAAAATGGCAATCTCTTTTTTGACTGTCTTTTTATTTAACCAGAATGACTGAGTGGAAAAACAATCTTGTAAATGTACCGTAGGTTCTAGGTAGAGACAAAGCGAGTTTTCAAAGTGTTGAATTTTCCACCAGTGTCAGCAAACCGATATCGCCACCTTTCGGAGTGTTAACCCCAAGTAGTCATTATCAGGCTCCATGGCATGATCTTGCCTCTTGAGGAAACCCAGTATTGGTCAACACATAAACTAACATTTTAACCCAATACAGGGCCCATATACAGGCTTTCTGAGAGGGATGACATTCAACTGCAAGGAGGTTCTGTTCCAACTCCTTTAGAACCATGTTTAGACTACATGACACAACTGTCAACATTTGTGATCTCCATGTTGAAAAAAGAAATGAAAGAGCAGGAGAAAGTGCAACAGAGGTTGCCAGTTAAACAGCCCATTTGAGAGTCATCTTATGTTGTTGTACCAAAAATAAAAACTTTAAAGGACAAAAACAAAGTTGCTGGAAAAGCTCAGCAAATCTGGCAGCATCTGTGAAGGAAAAAAGAGAGTTAACGTTTCGGGTCCGGTGACCCTTCCTCAGAACAGAACTTTAAAAGGGAACCTACCAAATTGAAATTGCATTTCCAGCTGCGAGCATGCTGAAGTATCTATCAACTTTGGAAGGCCTCTAGCATATCAGGAACATTTTTTTTAGTGGTTGGATATGGGTACACAAGTTAGGCCAGCATTTATTACCCATCCCTAATTACCCAGAGGCTAGTTAAGAATCAGCCATGTTGCTGTGGCTCTGAAGTCACATGTAGGCTATTCCAGCTAAGAACAGCAGTTTACTTCCCTAAAAGACATTAGTGAACTACATTCCACCATCTGCCATGATCAGGACATTTTCACCCAGGACATTATCTGAGTCTCTGGATTAATAACATTATTAGGCTATCACCTCCCCAGTTTTCTCAGTACTGGTTGATATTTGGTAGACTTTGCGTTTGATGGTGGGTAGCACTCAGACACAAGAGAGCAAAGAAGATATAGGCCAAATGCAGGCAGCTGGGACTAGTTTAGTTTGGGAAACTTGGTCAGCATGGATGCTTTGGACCAAAGGGTTTGCTTCCATGCTTTATGATTCCATGAGTCTATAATGCTGAGTCAGAGGGGCCAAAAGGAAGGCTGGCCAACACTGAACAAATGGTGGAAATAGCACACTGAAAGCTTTTGAAGATGGCAATATAGTGATAAGGTCACTGAATTAATAATTCCAGGGCCCAGGCTAACATTCTGTAGATGTGGCATCAAATCTCATTGAATCAAATCAAATAGTAGTTGGTGGAACTTGAACTCAATTAATAAATCTGAGTCTGAATACTAGTCTCAATGTTGCTGATGGTGGATACTGTCATTTTTTTGTAATTACATCACATCAGGCTCACCAATGGTCTTGAGGGAAGGGAATCTATCAGCCTTACCCAATCTGGTCTACATGTGACTGCAGACCCACAGAAATATGGTTGACTTGCATTTGTCCCTGAAATGGCCTCGCTAAAGCTATTCCAATTAAGGGGATGAATAATAAATTTTCAGCTCACTAGTGCTCACCCAGCAACAATGTCCGATGGAAGCCCTTGGTAAACAGTCAGGCCAGGACACTGCAGTCTGTCTCAATTTCAACACCTGGACTAGGCAGCAAGGAACTTTGGCCTGGCTGTTTGAATAAAAAAAAATGTAAAGCAAAATAAGGGAAAGTAAAGGATGCGTCATTGAGGCCAACAGTGTAAGACAACAGCCGATTGGAAATTTTGCTGGACTAGTCTTGCAAAGGCCAAGAGTAATGTTATGGGGAAGTGCAGGTGGCAGCTTGACAAATTAAATTCAATTAGATTAGAACATCTAGAATATGGAGCTGGTTCTCAGTAATAGTGACCACAACAACTGCAAACAAATGTTTTCAAATCCCTCTGGTTTAATAGCAGCCCTTAGAGAAGAAAATGTGGGATCCTTTTCCTGGTTTGGCCTACACATTGACCAACAGCATATGATTGACTCTTACTGTTCTCTGAAGTGACCCAGAAAGCCATTCATTTCATGGATCATTAGAGATGGGCAACAAATATTGGCCTCGTCAGCTACACCAAGGCACAGGCATGAAAGCATAACAAGAAATAAAAACACTTGAGGCATCAATCTGCAGGGACAACACCTCCATATAACTGTATTTGCTTCTCATGTGCTATTTTAGACCCGTTCCCCCTTTACAAAATGATGTATAAGTTCAGATAATGGCACTCACATCTCCCTGCTACCAGGAAAATGCTTGTTAATTAGCTCCTCAATGACTCAGTTATTGTCCTACCACTGCAGGAAGATTGCCATTTGGACACTCAGCATAGCCATGGGGAGGAATAGAATTGGAGGTGACAATATGTCAGGGGGTGGCTCTCATATCTCTTTCAGCATTTTTGCACCACAACTTCTTCCTTTACTGCCCTCTTCTCCAAAAAGGCACCTCCATGGGGGCCAGGGGAATTCAGGCTATAAAGCCCCTGACCCAAATCATCCAAGACCAAGAAGTCAAAAATGCCATGTTGCTATCTCTGCAACGTTCCACCCAACGATCACTGATTGATGCATTAGGAGGAGGAGGAGGACGAGCTTCAACTCACTGCATCAGATGGAGAAACTGTAGCATTCTCGAGAAACCCTCCCATGACTTTGACAACAAGTCTACAGATACCCAGAGACGGGGCCTCTGCTGTCCTTTCTCCAAGATTGCACTTGTATCTACAAGGGAAATTGGAAGAAAGCATAAAGAAATTTACTTCCAGGGTTCAGACCGCTTGTGTTTCTTCCCAAATACTTGCTGTGCATTGTGCTGCCACCAGCTTTTGAGGTAAATCACACAGACTCAAGATTTTCAACCAGATTTCCAAGTAGCATTGACAGTGTTCACAGTTACATCCTTACTTTGACATGGTGACTTATCCACTATACAAAAGCTTGTCTTTTTAGTGCCTCATCTCATGAACTTGAGAGCCATTTGTTACTCAGTATCTGCTTTTACTGGGACCTTTACTGTGATATAGTCATTGCAGAAAATTCATGCTTCTACTGTTTAGTTTGGTTATTCTAATTAAGAGATGAGTAATTGTAATATCATAAAGAGTAATCAGCAAGCTGGATAAACATTTTTAATAAGTTTCAGCTAATCCAAAAATAATTTTCTGATGGGTGATGTGACGGTGGAACTGTATGCAATTTGATTTAGCACCAGTAGAGGACACCTAAGCTCTTTTTAAGTCTCAGCTACTGGTCCCTCAAACTGAGGCACGGTCAAAAAAAGCATCAACTACAGAAGGTATGTTTATAGCCTGTCCAAACAGGTGATTAACATTAAGTTTTTACAGCTTTTCTTTTAAAGGTGGCACAATGTCCCTTGGGATGAAGAGCTGCTGTCCTTACTTAGTCTGACCAACGTGTGACTCCAGACCCACAGCAATGTGGTTGACTGTTAAATGCCCCTTGAAAAGGGCCTAAACAGTCACTCAGGTTCAAGGGAAATGCGGGAGGGGTAACAAAGACTGGCCTTGTCAATTTCGACCACATCCTATAAAAGTAGAGCAATGAGCACTGTTAACATGTGGCAAGTTTTTTCAGACAGCTGTAATATATTTGAAAATCTTTTTGAATCTGCAGCAAAAATATGAAGTTTAGTATTTTTGAAATGTAATGACAATCACAGATTGCAAGATGATGATCAGTGGCTCTGTAAGTTGATGAGGCAGGAGTTGACTGCTTGTTGAACAGTTATGGCTGGTAAATGCATTTCAGCTCCAGTAATTTTGAAAAATATACATTTCTACACAAATGCAGGGTTAATATTAGCAATAAAGAGTTTATAGGCACATGAGTTGATTAAGTGAGTAGATTTGTTTTTAAACTTACGTAGGAGAGATAGAATAGCCTTTATTGTCATATATACTCATTGAGTATAGTGAAAAGTTTTCACATTGCCAATTACAGCACCAATTTAGATACTAAAGTACCTAAGCACAGCTTCTTTTGTTACAAGATTTTAGACAATACAGAAATAA